AGGCCGAGGGAAGCTAAAGCGGCCGGTGATGGTTCTGGGATACCAACCCGTGATTTCCGTTAAGGGAGATGGTTGCACAAATGCCTCAGGGTTCCTGGTGCAATTAAATTACGTTTTTTGGGAAAGTTGGTAATTACCTTATCTCAGAAGTCATATCCTCCAAGGGTTTCCCTACCGAAGAACCACTACAGGCATAGCTTTACAACCAGACTGCTTTTCACGCTGGTGCCCAGCGAGCTTTACTCCGGAGATCAGACGTTGGATATGGTGCTCAACGCACTTGCCGAGGACATGTCTGATCTTTACTACAAAGGTCTTCAGGCCCGCCCAAATATGGGGTTGCAACAAGCTAGCTACAGACTTCTATTAAATAGAATCCCCTGAAGGTACAGTTTGAGAAGACCACCTACGTGTTCAGGTTTGTGCCAGTCTTCCTTAAAGGAGACTGGCCATTCCTGCGAAAGGCAATGCACCTCAAAACGGGGTTTACTTCTTCCCGCGTCTGTCACCTTTGTGATAGTGCTGATTCCAATTGGAATCATATATATGTTTTTGTTTTCACTTGTATGAAATCTATAGGCTTTGCTTTCCCCCTGAGCCCGGTAAAAAAGAAAATGTAAGCCTCACATTACATATAATTAATAGTTTTGCCTTTATCCTTACCCTCGTAGTAAGCCCCGAAGGAGCCTAGCTTTTGGAACCCAAAACTTATAGTGAAGGACTGGTACGACATGGGGAGAAGTTCAAGCAGCAGATGCCGTCCAATGGGTTATATTCCAACAAATCCCTTCAAGCCCAAGTTCTCCCCTCTCCGAAATCTTCCTAGCTGCAATTCTCCAATGTGGGTGAAGCCAGATTTGGCGCATACTTATGCCATAAATGGCTGGGGATCTGACTTGTGCGCTTCCACGGTCATCTTGCTGCTTCGCCTGGGCATTTTTGGATTGGGATCGATTCAATCGAAACTTGATGAGGCATATGGACGCTTCAGGGTGTGGTGCCAGGCGAACCAGAAAACTTCATCATTAAAGGAATTTAGTCTGAAGGCTTTCAAGATCCAGAAGCCACTCGGTCACATCATGAAGTACGTGTTTATATCTAGCCTTATATAGGGTTCCCAATTGTTGCCTAAAGAAGCTCCAGTACTATGCCCCTGTCAAGGTTGACTCAATTCCCCCATGGATGTGGCAAAGGCCATGATACGGCCATGGTTGCAAGTTGGCTTCACGAGGAGGTCTCAATGCACGATCCGTCAAACATGGTGGTCACTTGTTAGGAATTTAGCTATTCAAGTTTTTTTTGGGTTGGGTATTGAAGGCAACCTAGAATATATTTCGTTACCAAAGGGATCTATGGTGCTTTGGTTAAGGGGGTCTTGGGTAATTTTTTGTTGTATACTGCAATAAGCAGGAGGCTCACAAAGAACTCTTTGAGCTCCTGAGATGGACTCTCAATGCTGTGGGTGTCCACTTCCGGTTGCTGTACAACAATGGCATTTGGCTGCCTGCTGAAAAGGCAAACATAGCTATAGAGGCTGGCTTCAAAATGCTCGACGCTGGATCAATTGTCAGACATCATTTGGTTCCACGCCTGTAGTAGTTATAGTATAAACCCCCCAAACCCCCAAAATGCATTTAGCTTTGAATGCTAATCTAGGGTGTTGTGTAGTTATGCATATAGCTAGTTTTGTAGACCCATTCACAACTACAGGAAGGGTATCAGTCCTTGGCAGTGAAGACTGCCAAGCTTTCCTGGGTTCTCTTCAAGATCCGCCCGAAGCTACACATGCAGCTAGAACTGGTGCGACTTAGCTGAAGGAAGCACAGGTTGATGAAAAGCGTTTCAGACATGAAATCATCCCCTCGACCTACAATTCAAGCGTAACCGTACTGGAGGATCATGATGCGTGAGCAACTGGATATGGGAGCTGAGTACGTGCTTTCTCCGCTCAGTCGCTCGATCGTACTTTGTCATCGTTTTTGGAAGTCCAAAGGACTAGCTCGTAAATGCTGTATAAGTTATTAGTACTATATGTGTATCACACGCATAACCCCATGGGTGCAGGCTTTACTTGCTGGGCGGATGAGGACTTTGTTGGAAGGTGTTCCCGTGTTACTCGGAGAACCCATGTGTACACAACGACGGCCCGCTCCATTACTCGTATTCTGAT